TGAATTAAGGAGTGTCTATTTCGAGCTCAGTGGTTAGATTGTCTGCAATCTGTGTTTGATTTTTGCTAATTCGCCGGATTCGTTTATTACTTTACCGAGAGGTAAGAATTATGTTCAACATAGATACGAATTTAGCTTACTTGTAAAGTGTAGCCTCGCTAAAACCCGAAACAGCGAAACGAAACGACCGAAACGAAACAAGCGAAACCACCGAAAAGAAGAAGACGAAATCACCGGACCAAAACACACCTCTACAACTTGGCAATCGAGAGAACGATCCTTCCGTGAGTTAGATCAGGAGTAGACCATAATTGAAACGTGACGAATGGCATTCATTTTATTATCATTGACTGTTTTTTTCATGCTAATTTTTGGTCCGGTGATCTCGTTTCGTTTTCGTCGTTTCGGTGGTTTCACTTGTTTCGGTGGTTTCGTTTTGATGTTTCGGGTTTTATTACAAGTTTATGCCAGTTTCGCTCCGTTTCATTTACGACTCCGTCCAAAAAACCTTCTTGCAAGCACATTCTTCAATGAACTCGATTTGAAACTGCATTTTTAAGTAAATGATAAGGTTTCTTGAGATCTTAAACCGCATGATTGAAAGATTACATGTTTTAATGACTTCAAGGTCTTCTTGAACAAAACTAGTGACGTGTGGGTACCTATCATTGCTGTCAAAGCAAACTTTGTTGTGACATAGGAAATCTACATCTTAGCCACCAAATACATGATAAGCTGATAGCTTCGTGTTATTCCTAGAAGCTTCTTTCAATAACTTAGTATCCTTTATTTAAATACTTTATTTTAAAAGTATTTATGTCTATAACCTTTAGATCTCTGGTTCAGTTCCGGTCTAGCCATCCTTTCAATGATTAAATTTCAAAGTTCACTGATTTATCAGTTTATAACCTTTGGATTTTATCGATGGTTCGCTTTATATATTTCACAGATATATATGTTTGTATTAATGTTTGAATTTATTTATTATGTATCAGTCATATGGCGGGTCAAACTTGATTTTGATGGGGGGCTAAGTTACTGGGTCAAAAATTAAATGGGGCAAAACTGGCAGATACCAATTCATGTGTGATCAATTTTTGAGATTATTCATGATGTGTGAAAAGGCCAAATATTTTTATGTGACTGAGTTTTAGAGAGGGGTATAAGGGAACCTCTGCCAATGAAAAGATAGAATTTAAATCCTTAGAAACCTCTGAGCTCAGTTCTTTGTGATTCATTCACAATCTTTCTCAGTAAGATGTATAAGTAACCACATCATACTTGTAATGTGCATTTCAAGCCAAAAAATTTTAATTCCAGTATTTGGCCAGTTGTCTTGTGTTTGCGAAGAGAACTAAAACTTTCCCTTCCATATTCAATAATTTTGATTATTATACGTAAGACTTACTATGAAAAAGCTGGTTGGTCAAGAGCATTCAATCAATATACAGTAGTGTGTGAAGTTGACATGATAAAATGCAATATCTGAAGCTTATTCTGCATTTATCAAGATTATCATTTAGAGGTCAATGTCTGCGTAGTTACCAAGGCCTTAGTCCGTCTAGTACTCTAAGACTTTTGAAAACTCAAAGAGAAGCTCGAAATAGCTGAATACCTCTAGAATATGTATAATAAAACAATTATTTAATTTAGTTTTTGATATCATGCTCAACTTCATTCAATAATTGCTTATTACCCTAGTGTCAAGACCATGGATAGACCATGGTCAATCATGGCTCTGCCATGGTTGTTTACAGGACTTCCTGTTGTCCAATTCTGTTTGTAATAATACTCTTGATTAACAAATCAGACAGCTGTTATCAATTAATCAAAACTATGACAAAATTTGGGAAAGAAACTAGACATCGGTTATACGTTTTCATAAAAAAACAACAACAACAGAGGCAACAACACAAACACATTTCTGTCCACTTCCACAAGCATTACATGATAATTGTCCCTTTAACTGTCCTATTACACTGTCCAATTACAAGCATGGTGCATACACTGTATTATTAGTGCTCAAATCGGTCTGGTGATAACCAATCATGTTGAACAATTTTGTTATAGTTTTGATTAACAGATGAAAAGTAATATTTTCAGAAGAAAGTTTTTCTTCCTCCACATTTTTTAATTCTGATATCTGCAAATTATTAAGGTCCTGCAAAATAAGTAAGGATTTTTCCTTTTTGCACTGAGAGGGGGTAGCCAATATTAATGATCAATGGTTTCAAAGTTGTTGTTTTTTTAGTCATTACTTGCTAGTTTGAAAAAGCAACAAATGCATTCAGTACATATATGGGGACATGAATTATTTTGTTCTTAGGTAAACACTCTCATTCCCTTGACCCTTTCACTCCTAAGATCTCTTTAGTAATTCTCCTTACTGTTTGCCATACCATTCTTATGATGTAAGTTTGGAGAATTTGGTATTGGATCAACTAATAATCCTTACTAATATTTTCCTTTATTCATATCACTTATCTGTTTGATGTTGTGTTGATATTTTGTAAGGAGAATTCCTGTCTTGGTCACTCATGCAAGTTAAAGGGTTAAATAACGGTTATGAGTTTTGAAATTGGTTAATGATTGCAGTTGTAAAACTTTGTACTTGAATTCATTTTGTTGCACATTAAATGTTTAAGAAACCAAGCACAATTTATAAAGTTTTGGAGACAGTCCTTGATGAATGTGCAAATTTATGTAGGATCTCAGTAATTTATTTTACATTCAACTCTCTGCTAATGGACACTCTTGTAAGTGCACAGCTCTATTTATGGACACCTTTTTCAATTTCCCATTTTTGTACCTAGACAAACTCTGTATTAACTACACATTCCAGGAATTATTCTAACTTGTAGGTGGACAGCTCCATTAGCAGACACTTTTACCAGTTTAGAGGGTGCCCATTTAGGAGAGAGTTGACTGTACCAATCATGTTCTTTATCACTATCCTCAGTTCATACTTTTCACATTCCCTTCTTAGTTAAGCTTTTATTGATAAACATGAATAAGAAATTACAACAAGTTTTCTTTACTCTGTAATTTTGTTTATTTCACCAACAACATTCCTTGTGTAACATACTCAGTACAGCAACTATGGGCTAGTTTAAAAGCATCATGCTGCTAGACAAACTCTGTTAAAAAAAAACAAAACAAAAAGCTCTCTTTCTGATTATTTTTGTAACTAAACAGTGAATATGTCAGTCTCTATTAAATAATTAGGACCACATTGTGATGAATTCACTCTGTGAACTGAAAATAATAATAACTTAAAGAGAATAAAACCAAATAACAGGTTTGAAAATAAGCAACTTGGTCTGAATATTGACAGCTTAGAAATCATTCATGTTTTGGTTTATATTAAAGCTGTCCTAGGTTATCACATCAAGATAAAACCAACCATTGATTTGCACTATTGATTTCTTTCCATTTGGATATTAATTTTTAAAATGAAAGTAGTTTGTATGTTTTTGCAAAAGCAGCTTGGAGAACTCAGTGTATTTAAATTTGAATATCTTTCTTGTTCATAATTGCCTTTTAAGTTAACATGTATAACTCAAGCAGCTGCTTATGAACACAAAAAATTATGCAAAGAGATTTAAGTTGAAATGTTTCTCATGAAAATAAATAACTAAAGTCTTTGCACAAAGACATCATTTACTCAAAGTGTTTAAAAGAACACTGAAGGGTGGAATTGGCTTCCAAAGATAATGCACTAAGAGGATTAAATTACTACAGTACCTTGGTTTAGTAGATGTTAACTTATAAACCTCATTTTTGGCCATTTTTGGTTCAATGGTTATTATAATTGCCAAGAAAGTTATTTCAAGTTACTCACCTTTAATGACAGCTTGTTGTTTTTTTTTTGTTCTGACAGTTACATTTCTAAGACATGGATTCCCATATTTCTAAAGAAAAACTGAGAAGTAAGATTGAAACAACTTATGGAAGAAAGAAATTAGATCTCTCAGGGTGGAATTTGCTTGAGTTGCCGGAAGCTGTGCTAGAATTAACTGAGTTGGAGAAATTTAATCTGTCAAGGAATAAACTTAAAAAAATACCTGAAAATGTTGGAAAACTAAATAATATTATGGTACTTCTTGTAAGTGGAAACCAGCTGTCCATATTCCCTGCAAGTTTGACACAGCTGAAGAAACTTGAATGGCTAGACATCTCGCGTAACAAATTAACTACCATCCCTGATGCTATTGGTGAGATGGTGGGGCTGGAAGTACTGGGTCTGAGTTACAACCAGCTGACTGTGTTGAGTCCAGCAATAAAACAGCTGAAGAAACTCAAATGGCTGGACATCTCACATAACAAACTAACCACTATTCCTGATGCTATTGGTGAGATAGTGGGACTGTGGAGACTGGATCTGAGTTGCAACCAGTTGACTGTGTTGAGTCCAGCTATAACACAGCTGAAGAAACTCATAGAGCTGAACATCTCATTTAACAAACTAACCACCATCCCTGATGCTATTAGTGAGATGGTGGAACTGGAGAGACTGAATCTGCGTTGCAACCAGTTGACTGTGTCGAGTCCAGCTATAAAACAGCTGAGGAAACTCAAATGGCTGGACATCTCACATAACAAACTATCCGCCATCCCTGATGCTATTGGTGAGATAGTAGGGCTGGAGGAACTGGATCTGAGTTATAACCAGCTGACTGTGTTAGGTCCAGCTATAAAACAGCTGAAGAAACTCCAATTGTTGTTTGTGAATGGGAATCCTTTTACAGTTGAAGGAATAAGAGGTGTTATGGAGCTAGAAAATAGAAGAATGATTGACCAAGTATATTTGGATCTCCAAGGTGAGTAAAGGAAATTTCTGGTCACACTAATGTTGTGACACGTGAATTTACTAACTACTGTTAGGACTTGTTGTTTTATTTTTGCTTTCTATTTGATTAATTGGAAGTGTTTATAAATTGAATAACTTTTGGCTTATCAAACAAAATTTATAATCTAATACAATTTGTGAATTAAGTTACAGGAATAAAACTTAAATGTGTTTTAGCGTGACAGAATTCTGATCATTATTTCCATATAATTTAGACTGGTGGTTTTTTGTGTAATCTTTTTTAAACTTACAGTTGTTACGTTGTGGAAATATGCGCTTTTTCTCTCTCTTTTACAAACAATTAATTGGCTATTGACTCCTCACTACTTGGCAGAATTGTTATAAGTCATTGCCTCTCTCTTGTGTATACATGCCGTCATAAGTGGTTCTAATTCTTAATGTTGTGAAACATCGAGTCAGTTTAGTTTTGGTGTGCATGTTCACCAAACTCATCACTACATTTCATGCCAGAAGAATTATTTTGACTGGCTGTGTAACTTTTATGTAAGAGTGGGTTAAATGACATGTTTTCTAAACTCACTAATGCATGAACATCAGAAAAAAAAACAATTTTGATGGTTTAGTTTTGTTTTTGTATAAAAATTATTCATGTTAGGCATTTGTAGTAGTTGATTTGTCAACTTTTACCTTTTTTTCCAATTATTTTGTACAAATGAATACAGAACTTACTTTTCCTTTGTGTTGTGAAAACTTTTTCTGATAAGACCAAATAGCAGATGGACATAAAGCACAGCTGGCTTATGAAAGGGCTTTGAAAGATGGATATGTCACAGTTTACCGTGGTAGAATATTACTCATTGGTCAGGATAGAGCTGGTAAAACCAGTTTAAAGAAGAGTCTCCTAGGCCTTCCATTTGACTCTAATGAACAGAGTACTGAAGGCATTGAAGTGGATCCTTCAAAGTGTGAAATTGATGTTGACCAAGCTGTAAGGAACTGGCAGTCCATTGGTGAGAATAAACCAGGACTGTTGGAATGTTCTAAAGATGTGGCAAAGATTGTGGTAGAGAAAATATTTGTACAAGACAGTTTTGCCAGAAAAATGACTATGCAGCTAAAACATTTTGGAGAAGAAGATACAGATAAAAGTTCAAAAGAAGATTTTGAAAAAGATTCAGCCCATGTTTCATCAGCAGATTTTGGAGAGGGATCTTTTGATGGTTACAAATGTGGCAGGAAAAAGGTGCTGTAAGAGTTTCAAAAGTATTCTTTACAAACATGTTTAAGGCAGCTTTTTTATGTGACAGTATAGTTTAGAATGCTTAATGTCAAATAAAGATTATTTGAACCTTAAAGTGAAACAAAAATTGAAATTGTTAAATTTTAAAGTGATTTTTTTGTGTGTGCAATGGTTCTAGCCAAAAAGCAGGGAAGTGTTTGTGGTCTAAACAATAATTTCCCTCATCGCCTGAAGAAGACTAGCAGTAGGCAGTCAAAACGTCACGATCTACATCACATGTGACTACATCGTGAGACAAAGGAAAAACTTAGCTTTTATTGTTATTCACCATGATGAATAACCACAACCTTTTCCACGAAATTTCCCTCCTGTTACATGTACTGTCATTTTATTTAATTTACATCAAACTTTGACATAATTATTTCAGATGTGGAATGAGTTTGCTGGCTAAACTAAGTAACTGTGGTACTTAAAGTAGTTAATTTCACCTTATTTGATACTTTACTCAGGTTGGGGATAAAGGAGATTATGCGTCAGTAGATGCTATGGACAACATTAGCATTGAACACTCAATGGACTGCATCTCAGATGAGCCCAAGGTAATTATTGATGTTGCTCAACCCCCTGATACTGAAGAGCATGTTCATCAGTGGTTGAAGTATCTCCAAGGCAAAGACATAGAAAGTGGTTCATTCAAAGAAGAATCCTATGTCAAAATGGATATATGGGACTTTGCAGGGCAGCACCTGTACTATGCCAGCCATCCTATTTTCTTATCACAACGAGCACTATACATACTGGTGCACAATCTCAGCAAGCCTTTGGATGCCACAGCTGAGCCTTGCATGAGGCAAGGGAGTAATGATGTGAAGTTAGAAAACCCTAACAATGAAACAAACATGGAGAATTTACTGTCATGGCTGGCTACAGTACACGGTGTTGCCCTGGCAACTGATGACCCGGAGGATGATGCACAACATAAGCTACCCTACCTTCGCCCCCCAGTGTTTATTGTTGGAACACATGCTGACAAACCAGTAGAAGACATAGAAGTAATAAAGAAACAAATACAGGAGAGAATTTCTGGTATGGAATATGAGAAGCATGTGGTCAGACCTTTATTCTGGATTGACAACACTCAGGGACGAAACTTGATTGACAACACTCAGGAACAAAACTTGATAAAGAAATTTATCCAGAAGATTCTAAAGCAAAGAGAGAAACATAAAACAGGTAAGATATCTCATGTCATTTTGTATCCTTAACAATGTGTTACTTGTAGCAATTGATGGTTTTGTAATTGGTTACTAGCTTGTCTTTGGGTCAATTCCAACAACACTTAATTTGTGGCCATTTTCTTTTAATCAAAGGCCCATTTGGTAGATGGTTGGAAAGCATTAAGCATACAATAATTATTATCTGACTCACATTTACATGTCACCCAGCAGTTCTGCTGTGTGTCATTATAATTTTAAAAGGTTTGTAGACATGTAGAATGTCTCAGTGGGAGTGGTAAGTGAAGGATACCACCCTGGTTGAATGAGTTCAGGGTACTAGTGGAGGCTGCACTCTTCTCAGCTTTCAGCTACTTTATGTACCAGCATCACTATACTGGGGTCTATAAATTTTTGCTGACAGATTCATCAATCTTAGAGTTTAAAATAAGGAAGATGATTTTGGGAGTTGGAGAATTATCATCTGAGCTATGTTGTCAGCTATAAGATATCTGTGATCACACATGTATGCATGACACAAACTATTCTCATTGTAAGGACATGTTTCTGTGTTACATTTTGCTTTGAATTCATTTTCTAAACATATCCAGCAGAGGAAGAAGGAAAAGCGGATGGAATAGATAAATTGCAGAACAGAATCCTGGAAGTGTTGAGGCAGGAGCCCTATATGGGGGAGAAAATACCTGTCAGGTAAACCAAAATAACTTTTTATCTGGCAAACCTCATTTCATGGACTTTGGGATCAATGTTTCATTCAAACAGTCATGAATAGTACTTTAAAGAGCAGTCAGTCTTTTGAGCATAACTGTATACAGGGTTCGTACGGGTCCTGGAAATCCTGGAAAGTCCTGGAATTTTATTATCGCATTTTCCAGGACTGGAAAGTCCTGGAAAAGTAATGCTGGTCCTGGAAAGTCCTGGAAATCTGTTAAACTGAACAAAGTAATAAAGTTTTCTCTAAAACAAATGAGCAAAGTTTTTTTAGTATTTTTATAACGTATTCCTTTCTGGTTTTGACCGCATGACCGCATCTATATTTTTTCATGTTTCCCGAAACTGACACGAGTGTAACTCTGGATCGAGGGCTCATGTATCATCATAAGCTCATGCGCAGTAGTAACCTTGATGCATGCATGATTTTGTAAACGGGTACTCAGTGAATGGGCGTCTTGAGTTTTAAATGTTTTGTTCCGAAATATGCCTGGGAAATGCTTGTTTAGTGACCGATGGTTGGAAAACTCTTCCTATAAATTGTGGCTGGAACGTGACGCGGACAAGTTTAAAGCAAAATGTAGAGTTTGTATGAAAGCGTTTGATGTATCAAATATGGGAGAATCGGCATTGAAAAGCCACGAAAAGGGAAAGAAGCATATTCATCTTATCGAAAAGCAACAAAGAAATACAACAGGTGACATAAGAAACCTTTTCTCGAACAGCTCTTTCGCTGCCCCTCGAACAGCCACTGAAAGTAACAACTCTACTTTGACTGTATCAAGTAGTGCCGCTAGTACAACAGCAGGTATGTCCGGGTTCGTGACGAGGAATGATACTTTAACTGCTGAAATTTGGTGGGCGCTAAAGGTGAATAGCAGCCATTATTCGTATAATTCCTGTACAGATATAAACTTCTTAGTGCAGCAAATGTTTCCAGACAGTGACATTGCAAAGAAATTTACCTGTGGGGAGAAAAAGGCCTCCTATCTTTCTTGCTTTGGTATTGCACCATGTTTCAAGAGTCTTCTAAAGGAAAAAGTCAAATCTTCAAAGGGATATGTGCTTTTGTTTGATGAAAGTTTGAATCACGAACTGCAAAAGAAGCAGATGGATTTCCATGTTCGCATCTGGAATCATGACAAAGTTGAAACTCGCTATTATGATTCACAATTTCTTGGGCATTCTAGTGCAGAGGATATGCTTCAAAAGTTTCATTCTTGCAAAGAGGACTTGAGCTGTAGAAATCTGATTCAACTCTCTATGGATGGGCCCAAGGTTAACTGGAAATTTTATGAAATGGTAGAGCAAGAATTGAAGAGTGATTTCAGTTGCACTCTCCTTAACACAGGCAGTTGTGGTATACATGTTGTGCATGGAGCTTTTAAGGATGGTTGTGATGCAGCTGGATGGACGGTGCAGAAAACTCTCTCCAGTCTTTACTGGCTGTTTAAAGACAGTCCGGCTCGAAGAGAAGAATACATTAGAATAACTGGTAGCAGTGTATTCCCCCTAAAATTCTGCCAGCACCGGTGGTTAGAGAATGTGTCAGTTGCCGAGCGAGCACTGGAAGTGTGGCCTCACATTGTCAAATACATTAATGCTGTTAAGGCAAAGAAAGTTACTGATCCCAAGTCCAAATCTTACGAGACCATTAGCAGTAGTTGCTGTGATCCCTTGATGCCAGCAAAGATTGCCTTCTTCTCATCAGTGGCAAAACAGATCAATCCTTTTCTCACAGCATTTCAGACTGATAAACCTATGCTGCCATTCATGAGTATCAGTTTGTACACTTTGTTGAAATCATTGTTGAATAGGTTTATCAAGGGTGAACTTGTTACCGAGGCAACATCTCCTCTGAAGATCCTGAGGTTGAAGCCCACTGATAAAGAACAGCAGTTAGACTACCAGAAAGTTGATGTTGGCTTTGTGGCACAACACATGCTGAAAGAAAAATCTGGGAAATTGAGTGAAAGGCAAGTTCTTCAATTCAGAATGGAATGTAAAGATTTTCTTGCAAAAACAGCCTCTAAACTGCTTGACAAAACACCAATAAATTATCGACTAGTAAGAAGTATGTCTTGTCTGGATCCAAGGCTAATGGCATCAGAGAAAGAAGGATGTGTCAAAAAAATGAAAAGAGTTCTTGAAATTCTTGTGGAAGCCCACAGATTGAAGGCTGATGAGTGTGATGAGGTGATATATCAGTTTGGACAGTTTTTGGATGAATGTGCAGGTAATCCTGACTTTGAAGATTTTGACCCTAGTGAATCCTCTTTAAGAGTCGACACACTGTTATATGAACACATGGCTGGTAATAAGCAACTGGCAAAAGCATGGGGGGTAGTTGAATTATTGCTGCTAATGTCTCATGGTCAAGCCACAGTTGAAAGAGGATTTTCTGTAAACAAAGAAGTGGCAGTTGAGAACCTGTCGGAAAGATCGTTCATTGCACAGAGGATTATTCATGATCATATTGAATCAGTTGGAGGCCTTGCCAATGTAAAAATCTCAAAGCAACTACTTATGGCATCTGCTGGAGCGCGACAGAAATATATTTCCTATCTAGAAGAGCAGAAGAGAATTAAAGTGTCCCAGGAAAACACGCTTAAAAGAAAGGCAGCAATGGATGGGATTGATGTGCTGAAGAAGAAAAAACGGCAAATTGAAACTGATATAGAGGCTCTTTTAAAGACTGCAGATGAATTTGCAGATAGGGCTGAAGATTCAAGAAACCTTACTTGGGTTGCCAAATCAAACAGTTTGCGAAGATCTGCCAAGGAAAAAAGGGCAGTCTTAAAGGACATTGAAGAGCAGTTGGAAGGAAAGCTCCAAGAGCTGAAAAATAATTAACCCCACTTTGAATCCCAAGATGTGAATATTAATTCTACTTAGTATCAGTCACGGATTTCTGATGTTACTTCTGAGATATTAAGAGTTCAATGAAAGAAGTTGATATTCTCTGTTTTCTTTGTTCTCATTTGTATGTCTGACAATGTGTTGAAATTGAAAGTAGAAATGAATCTTTTATACTTATGAGAGTGAAAGAGTTAAGGTGAATTTTGGAGTCCTGGAAAAATAATCTGAAGCCTGGAAAAGTCCTGGAAAAGTCCTGGAAAATTGTTTCTGAAAAAGGGTACGAACCCTGTGTATATGCATGTAAATGTATATCAACACAAAAGTATCTTACCTCCACTAGTTTGAAGTTCATCAAAACTCTTAAAACATCAGACTATACAAATACACTGCAGTCATTTAAGTGCAAACAAACAAAACTCTAATTCATGACATTGTGACAATACTGTCTCTAAAAAGGTGTGAATGTCTGATGGATATTGGAGAAGGCACAGCTCTTTAAATTGAGATTGTTCATGTGAAAAACACAACCATGTTTGAATTTTCCTAAAGTTTGGAGATAGCTAGATAGAGAAAATAGATGAATTAACACTGGAAGACTACAAATAAGTACACGTCTAAATGAAGTTAATATCCAATTTTTAAACCCAATACATTTTAACTATTCTGTTGCCTTCTAGATGGTTTTTGTTTGAAAAGGTAATTGCAGCTTTGCTGGGCAAACAGATTTATCACAGAAATCTGCAACAACTTAAGCACTATGCAAGGAGAGATTGTTTCATGGAAGATGCAAAAGAGTTTGAGTCCATGGTCAGTTTTTATCATGGTCTGGGGATGATAATCAAGCACCGCAGTACAGTTGTACTGAAGGCTCAGTGGTTGATTGATCTGTTCAAACAGCTGATAACCATTCCACCTTTCAATAAACAGGTAGGAAAAAAGATTCATTTTTGCAAGGCCTTAATTGGAAAATGTTCAATAATTTAGACCAACAGAAAATGAGAATGAGACTTCTTTTTACTCTTTAATCTTTACAATTGCGGACCCCAAGTTATTTGATGTACCTTTTTAGTTTTTCAGGTCATAAATTGGTTTGGCCTTTTTACTTTACAAGAGACTTGCATTGACTTGCTACCGCCCAAAATAATTGTACTCATACAAGTTAATAGTTCTTTTCGCTTGCGCTAATTGGCTTTTACTGTGCTGAGTAACAACTAATAATCACCTCTGAGCAGTCCAAGATACAAAATTTTTTGGTTCTTGTACATAAACGTGTAAAAAATTCAAAAGGAAAATTTAGTGGACCACTCTTATCTGGAATTTATGTTATTTATATCTTGTAGATTCCCCTATATGCTGAGTACTGGCGGGAACTTGAAGGAAGTGGCATCCTTAGTATGGAACTTGTTGATCATGTGTTCTCCAGCTTTATTGATCAAGGAATCATTAGAGAAGACATCTTAGACATGATGGAGCAATTTGGTTTGATCGCTAAGTTCTCAGCTTCCCTAACTGATGAGAAGTACTTTGTACCAGCTCAGTTGAAGTCACCGCCTGAAGAACTCTGTAAGATGGAACCATCATCAACTGATCCATGTCCATTATATCTCCTCTTTGTCCATGGCTTTGTCCCTCATGGTCTCTTCTTGCAGCTTGTCTCGCGATCCATTCGTTGGTGTTCAAAGACATGGGCCACGCATCAACCTAGCCTGTACCAAAATGGAGCATGGTTCATCATTGGGAAAGATATTCATGATTTTGTCCTCATATGCAAAACAGGATTCGTGAAGGTAATCTTGAGACAAAGAGAAGCACAAAGTCATCAGGTTGTGGGACAGAACTCCATCAAACTAGCACCTCTTGTTCGTGAATTTCTTGAAGACACCCTGAAGAATTTGTCACAAGAAATGGCATACCTGAGGGGACTGCGGTATAGGCTGTGTGTTGCATGTCCTTACTGTCATGAAGGAGCAGAAGAAACACGTCGTGCATGCTCAGACCACGTGAAAACCACTTGCACACACAAGGACTGCTTCCACCTCATTGATGCAAATGAAGGTCAACCAGACATCTGCAAGCGAAAACCTTGCAATAAGGTGGAACCAGTGTGTGGATTGCAGAACTGGTTCTTGAAAAGAAGATTCCAGGTATAATTGATTATAATGATCTTTCAAGCAAAGATTTCTAGCCTCAGTTTTATCTTTGCTTTGTTCCTCTAACTTGATGAGAATATCAATTGGGCTGTGATCAGTGTTGAGAAAGGGAGCTTGATAGATTGACTTCAGTTTTAAATTTTATACTTTTTGGAATTTTATGCTTTTTTTGTTTTTCCTTGGTAAAGTATTAATCAATAAAAATTTGTATGCCCACATCCAAAGTCTTTTTATGTAATTATCATAATCTTATATGACCTTTCTTTCTTCAGGGTTTGTTCTCTTCAAATGAAGCTGCTAGATCCCATGATGAAGCAAGTGAAATCAATTCAATGAAGTCTGCCACAGCATTGAAGGTGACTCTCCTTTGCAATGAGTGGAGTTCCTCAATGGGGGGCTTGTCCACCATCAACAGACAGCTTGCCATTCTGTTGGCCAAGCACCCTGAAGTGGACGTTACCCTCCTTGTCCCACAGTTCGCTTGTTCTGAAGAAGAGAGGAGAATGGCTCGAATTCACAATGTATCCCTCAGAGAGGCACAAAAACGTCCAGGTTATGCCAACTCCCTTGACTGGCTGAGTGCCCCACCGAGAGATCTGGACATTGACATAGTGCTGGGTCATGGAGCAAAGCTTGGTAAACAAGCTCAATTCTTTAGAGAATCGCACCAGTGCAAGTGGATACAGGTAGTGCACACTGCGCCCGAAGAACTTGCAATGCACAAAAACTATCCCAAGGCTATTTCTAAAGGTGAAGAGAAGAATTTAACTGAAGTGACTTTGTGTAAGTTGGCAGATGCTGTGCTAGCAGTCGGACCAAAGCTAACAGACGCTTTCTCCGCTCAGCTCCGCTCATGCAAGAGTGAAAACGACATCCTTCAACTGACTCCTGGAACTTTCCGTGAGTTCTCTGACGTAAAACAAGCCCCAAAGGAGAGTAACAAGTTTAAGGTACTGACGTTTGGCCGTGGTGACCCAGAGGACTTTAGCCTTAAAGGTTACGATATCTCTGCCAGAGCAATAGTTGAACTAAAAGACAGGTCTTACTGTCTCATCTTCGTGGGTGCACCTGACGGTAAACAGGATGAGGTTGCAGCGAATTTGCTGAAGAGTGGAATTGATAAAAACCAGCTGACCGTGAGGAAGTTTGTGCACAGCAAAGAGAGATTGAAAGAATTATTTTGTGAAGTTGATCTCTGCATCATGCCCTCTAGAACAGAGGGTTTTGGTTTGACAGCGTTAGAAGCGTTGTCTGCTGGTCTTCCCATTCTTGTCAGTGGAAACTCAGGATTTGGTGAAGCACTGTGCACTGTACCATCAGGCAAATCATTCGTGGTGGAGTCTGAGGACCCAGGGGAGTGGGCAAAGGCAATTGCTGGTGTCCGACAGAAGGAGAGATCAGATCGACTTCAAGATATTCAGCAACTGAGGAGTTCATATGAAGAGAAGTTTAGCTGGGAGAAACAGTGTGACATTCTTGTGGAGAAGATGTGGGACATAGTTCATGGTGAGAATGTTTTGAATATCCTTCAAAAAGTGATTTAGGGGGCTACTCTGGTGTCGGTCTTTTATTACCTGTGATTTAAAGCATAAACACCTATAAAAAAGATGTTAAACATGAATAGTAATCAGTCATTTTATCATATTGTTGTTTTCTGTGATATTAAAACAAAGTTTCTTTCTATCTTTTTAGCTTCTAAAAGACGAGACACAAGTTTTAGAGCTCGGCAAGGCACATCAACTGAACAACTTACAGTTGATTCATTACTGACTCCAAGTGAGTAAAAGAATTTAATAACACATGATAATTGACATCCCCAAAGAAGTACAGACAGGTTACAAGGAGATCCAGCAATTTTCTCTCCTTAACTTTGGCTTCAGGCCAGCTATGCTTCGTAAAAACTTAGCAAGGTACTTTTAACTTATGAGACATGTTTGTACTTATACCCCTGCACTCTTCAGTCACAAACGTAAAACGTGTACAAACACATTTTATTTCCTTTTACTTCCTGATCCGAACAGACGGCTAGGTGTTGATACAGTTGTCTTTCGAAGCAATAATGAAGTAATCACATATTCATACGGTAGAGGAAATACATCAGAATATTTTTGAAGCTCGTACTTTTATTTCAGGATTCCTTTCTCCAGTTACACCGATATGAGTGTGGACCTCGTCGTTAATTTTTCACTTCTTCTTCTCTCTTGCTTATTAGTGTATTCATTCACGGGCAGAAATCGAACTTAAAAAGTAACGTAATTGACGACTACAGCTTCCTTTTTAAGGATGAGTTGTTGGACAAAACAGAAGTCTGGTGATTGAAGCTATTTTCGTTTTTACCCTAAGGTTTCTTCTATTAGATTGAGAATTGTTATTTTCCAACAGACGATTCTTCCGCTTTTTTCATGAAGTTAGATTACTAAAAACCTTGTCTTTTCTAGGTTCTCTTGACCGAATCATCCAGGAACTTCAGCAGATGCAACTCGATGCAAGCAAAGTCAAGAGCAGAACAGATCTATCATTGGGGCTGAGGAATATTGCATCAGACAGGGGCTTCAGAATATCTGACAATCAAGGATTAGGAAATTGCATGTTCTATGCCTTGTCCGAACAACTGGAAATTGTTAAGGGAATCAAAATCCCACATGGCGAATTAAGACAAAACCTGGTTCAGTACCTCAGGGGTAACCCAAAACTTGTAAGTTGATGTTAGTATGTCTAACAGAGTATGTCAAGTGATGTTATTTTAAGAGTATGATAAAGGTTTAGTGATAATACAGGCCACTTGGCCAACACCACTAGAACCTATCCCAGTGTTCACAGGGTGAAGTGGCCAGGAGTACTGTTACTCTTCCTGTATGGAATGATGGTCTTTTCTTCAGGAGCTCTTATACCAGCTTAAATCCCTGGTGGAAAGGGGAACTTGAAAGATTCAAATTCTTGATTTAAGAAGCCACACAATGACGTTGGTTACAGTTAAATTCATATGTTACTTAATTTCTTTTCCGAAGAAGTAGGCCACCACAGTTTTGGTCATTAGAATATAACCAAGTTTCAAAAAAGTTCCATTTAAACCTCCATCAGATGACAGAATTCTAGTCATTCTCTTAATGATGGATCTTTCTTGTTGTTTTCTTGCTGTTTGCAAAGTGTTTTAGAATATACACGGACGTTTTAAAAGACGTTTCAAGCACACAATTTGTTATATGCAGTAACTTGCTAATTACAGGTCGTCTCGTACCATTCTGATAAAATTACTCCCTGACTCGTACTCCACGCGCTCAAGTTTCTATCAACAATCCTTTGAAGTTTCCCTCTTTAACTGATTCTTCTTACAGCCGGATGGAACAGATCTGTTTCACTTTGTCCATGGACATCAAACATGGACAGAGTACCTTGAAGACATGGAACAAGATGGTACTTGGGGTGATCACGTGATTCTGTGTGCCGCAGCGAACCGCTTTGAAACGTGCATTCGTGTTGTCAGCAGTCTATTCCATAGCAATGATGTAATCATTACGCCACATTGTGCAGTTGACGAAAGCAAACCTCTTGTGCTGGGACATATTCATGAGGTGCACTATGTCAGCCTTCAACCCGTGCAAGGTACACTCGAATTATCATAAAATTTTGTTTTTTATATTTCATGCTTCATCCTGCCTCCCATCGCAATAATCAGACTCAATTCATGCACTATATTGTTCTCCCCTGCCGTTTAATCACAGGGTTCTGATTATTGTGTTAACAGGTTAAAGTGGCAGGCCCCTACAGTCACCTTGATTGGCCCTTGTGAAGAGCCCGGCCTTACAGAATGACTTCATAGGCGTACAGACCATTGATGCAAAGCTTTCTTCAGCCTGATTTATCCAATGTAAACTTTTAAAATCTTAGATTTAATTCGAGATCCTATGATATTAGTTTTCCAATGAATCGCATGAAAAGGAAAACCACCCAAATGACAAGGGGTGTAAAGAAAGACATCATACTGTGAAAAGTTATCGTAACTGAGGATACGAGCGCTATTTTAATAAAGTTATTATTATTACTTACAGTAATATGCCTTCCCCCCAAATTTAGAAGGCGATCGATAATTGAGATAAACTGCAGAAGTCCGTTGGCTTGAAGTGCCTATACTGATTAAAATGTAAAAATTAGAAAATCGAGATTTCAAAGGTTCAAGACTCCAGTCTGAACTGAGTAAGTTGGAAACGTTCCAAGTAATGGCTTTTTTTTCGGATCTAATTAATGTCTTGTTTCGTAACGACTGAATTTCTTTCCCTTACGTTCAACTTCAAATAGCATTTCAGAGCATTTACAGCCATAACTCAACATAGCGTCATAGAACACTCCAACAAAATTTTGCACTCTACGGCTAATTTCGATACTGGCGCTGACGAAGCGACCTCCATTATTGATTAACCCTTTAACAGCCAGATCAAATTTGTAATTCTCCTTACTGTCAACGATACAATTCTTATAATGTTAGTTCAGAGAATTTAGTATTGGATCAACCTATTATCTCCAAATTGATATTTTTCTATATTCTCAGTACTCATCTGGTTGGTATTGTATTGATATTCTAAGGAGAAATTCTGTCTTGGTCACTCATGGGAGTTATAGGGTTACGATCACAAGGTTCCTATCGAGAGGAAGTCATCGCGCGGATAAAAATTGCGTGACTTCACAAAGTTGACGACAGAGTGTGCCAAGACTTGTCTCCTTACAGTCACAACTATACTGTAAACCCTGAGACAGTCATAGAGTCATATGTAGCTTCTTGCATGCCTTGTCGTGTCTCGCGACCCGCTCCCCTTCTCTCGCACGAACAGTTGCATTTATCGCTCATGCGATATTTTTGGTGCGTTGTGCCTCGTTTGTCGGCATTGGTTTTCCCAAGTGAAGATAAGATTTTTTATTGTTTTTTTAGAGGGCACGGTAACGAATCTTGCAATCTGATTGGTTCTTTACCCGGTCAGTATTTTCCTATCTCTGCCCACGGGCCACGGTAACGCTTTCGTGAGTCGCCGAGTACATCCCAACTTTCGTTGTCATTTTTCATAAATATACCTCGTTTTCCGGCTGGGCAGTATTTTTAAGCAAACACGTCGGTCACTACCTCAAGCCGATAAATAACTTATGAATCCTCCCTTTTCTCTCTATCAAATCACTTTGGTTGACAGAAAAATATTGGTTTCAGAATGAATTTGTATAAACAATAGTGTCATTACGTTGGTTGACAAGCGGCCTAAAAACCTTCTGCAATTAATTTTAATCGTTCACAAAAAAAACTCAGAAAGTTGGAACGTGAGGTATTTGGTTACAGTTAAACTGAACGATGGAACTTTCATTCATTTAATATCTGAATTTTCTCGAGCAATTTGTTCATAGTGAAAGAGCGAGCGAAGTTTTAATTTAAGTTCTACAACAAATATACGCTCCTGGTGAGTCTTTCCAATTCCGTTCAATTTGGACATTTGTACCTTAAATTGCACAACAGAAATTGAAGGAATTTTTTGAGAAAAGGCCGCATTACATTCCCTTGTGTCTCGTTGGAGTGTGCCGTTTTTTTTGCCGAATTTAGTTTTTGTGAAGGAAAGATCAGAGTTAAACACGCCATTACAGCAAACAAACGAGCAAACTCTCACAACTTCAAAATAAAAAGATTGAATTTACTCACAATTAATTTCCTCGCCGTTTACTTAATGAACAGAGGTAAATCTTCGTACATGAATGAATGGTCGATGAGAGTGAATAATACTTTCCGTTAGATCATTAACTGATTTTGAAGAAAACATTGTCGTGACAGTCCTTGCCAAACTAGTTCTGTTGGTTTTCAAATGTTCCTTCGATTTTCTTTTTCTTGCGCGCTCTCTAATTGACAGGTGTCAGATTGTGACAGATACTTGTAAAAATATTGTTTCAAAGTTTGTTTGGAAGCCTTTTAAATCACCTTTATCGTTACGGAAATGAAAATGTTTCGCTGAGGCATCTCTCTTAAATTTGCATCACCTCTATTTTAACTACCATTTACCCACTCAAAAATTGTTCAGTTTATGGAAGATCTTGCCGTATTTACGGCCATAAATCATTCGGGTTCTTTCGGAAAGAATTTCGTCAAGTTTAAAAACAATAAATATGTTATTTACCGGCTAAGGGTCGGTCCGTATGGTGAAAAACTGTGACCTCGGTCTTGAAAATGCTGCCCTCGGCCTACGGCCTCGGGCAGTATTTTCAAGACCTCGGTCACAGTTTTTCACCATACGGACCTCCCAGCCGGCAAATAACATATATATATGATTGGCTTCTTCATTGTCACTTACGAAAAAAAAAAACAGGTTCATTGGAGATTAACAGCAATCCTTCTTTCGGAATCCAGTTATGAATCAAATAATAACAGTTGTTATCGGTTAAGACGGACAGGAACTTGGATATTTCACTAACATATGTCCTACAAAATCAGATTTGATCAGCTTCCTCTGCAAAGGCATAGCGATTTCCGTTCCCTTTGCGGTACTTGGATCTAAGCTAATGAATGAATAGAATAGTTTATCTAATCATGTTAGAGAATCAAGTAGTATTGCAGCCTATAAAAGGAATGTTTTAAATTTTATTGAGGATAATTAGAGGCGAAAGTCGAGTTATCACAAACCTCTCGAGTCAAAATAAACTTAAAACAAATGTAAATTTTTTATGGATGGATGTTTCAAAATTCCTGTTTTACTTAAAAAAAAAATTGTGCTGACGATTTCTTTAACTTCAAGCTCGAATCCTGAGTGTAAAGTTTCTATAGTCTCCTGGATGTAATTCCAAAGTTAGATTAACAGCAACTAATGTCTTTTGCCACACCTGCAAGTTTTATTGTAGTTAGGAATCCTTCAATCTGCATAAGTTTGGGTGACAGGGATACTTCAGCGGAATTGTATTCCTGATCAGAAATTCTTTAAAAAATTGGTTTGCTAATATTTGAAATACAGTAAATGGTTTGAACCCGGGGGTAACATGTAATAGTGTGGTTTGATCGTCCGGGTGAGTGTGGTCCTGAGAAGGACTGTTGTCGAAACGTCAGTCAACACTACCGACAGCAGTCCTTCTCAGGACTACGCTCACCCGGACGATCAAACTACACTATTACAATATTTGAAATATAGATCTATTTTGAGCTCACCCATCATGCATTGCATGGCCAGATTTCCACAGAACTCATCGGTCTCAAAATGAAGAGTTCAAAAGCTTGAAGTTAACCTCTACGTGCTATATGTAAATTTTTATCACAAATTAGACGAAGGAGAGAATTCTTTAGTTTTAGTTTCAAAAAAAAGTATTCAAAAGTATGAATAATTCAACCTGTAGGTTTAATGTGTAAATGTTGTCACAAATTGAACAAAGAAATTAAAGCTCTATACTGCAAACAGAATTCTTTAGCTTTAGTTTAAAAAATAAAGTAGTCAAAAGATTGAAGACAGGCCTTTAGTGTAACGTTTAAATGTCGTCACAATTCGACAAAGAGGAAAGAGCTGTACTGCCAACGGAATTCTTTAATTTTGCTTCCAAGATAGGTTTTCAAAAGGGTGATATCAAACTCATGGTGTAATGTGTAAATTTTGGTACAAATTGGACAAAGAGGAAGGAGCTGTAATGCAAATGCAATTCAAGTTTTGATCATTTCAAAATAAAGTTAACCTTAATGAGACAATTTTGTCACACATTGGACAAACAAGAAAAGAGGTATGATATATATAGCTCTATAGGATATAGATGTATAAATAAAATGTCGGCTTCGAAAAGAAAAAAGAAAGTTAATTACACAACACTAAAAGTTCTGAGAGACACTTATTATGAATATTTCAGGTGTATGGAATGTTTTTGGTTCTTCGTGAATATCCTATGGCGTCACGTGCTCGTCTCCAGGAGAAAAATGCGCTGGAATTTCTTTTCTCTGTATATTAAATAAGTAAAACACAACGTCAACCTTTCTTCAGTGCCAAGTTCATGTGGCACTTCTGCCCAGTTTGGATACCACATGATGTTTCACTATATCGAATTAAGCAATGTTAAACGTTAGAAACCGTAAAACTACTGCTTTTAACGATGAACTATCAACTCAAGGGATTATGTAATGGATTTCATTTGCGAAAAAGCGCTCCAAAGTGTGCCACAAGATTTTAAAGTATCAAGAAACAGTTAAGTTTTCGATTTTATAGAAAGACCTAATCTTTAAAAAAAACTTGCGTGTTGTTCTTAACGAGATGTGAGGGCCACTAAGCAAACAAAGTTTATTTCATGAGTTGAAAGTAAACGAGAAAGGTAGTTAATGTAGTCAGAAGCCTTCCAATCACCCGGTTTCTAATATTCAATACATCTCCGAGTACTTTTTCCAGCAACTTACCTCATACGGCATGTTCTGCTCTTAACGATAAGTTTCTCTCCAATACAGTTCTAGCTTGGGTAAAATGATAATGTTTATCCTGTGTTGCTCTTAAAATTACATCCACACAATCAATAATTAAAGCAATTCACAACGGTTTTCAATGCATTCCTCCATATAGGATCTCAACCCACATCACTGAGGTAAGGAGCAAACTAAATTAATTTGCCTGTTATCTTTTGATGGAAATATCACATACAGGATGTCATGTCTTTGAAGTCTTCTTTTCGCCATTAACAAAAAAAATTACGACTTAACCAATGTTACTGATAAAATATGTTAGAAATGAAGATTGTAAAAAAATGTTTACACATAGTGACCTCTTGTGTAGTTAAGACTCATAAAATAGAGGGCAAAATTAATTGAAATTGAAGACTTTGCCTAGAAGAATGGCGAATTTACTCTCAGTAGAGACAGTGTCATTGCGTTCGTTTTTGTGTACAATAATAAGACTTCATTCAACTGATTCGTGCGTTTTATAGTTCATTGACGCTAACGCAACGTTGAAATGGCCTCCTATAAAATTGCGCAACAGCGTGCGCGTTGATTATTAGAAATGCGAATCGTGTCGTTCGCGCGATACTTCCTTACTGCGGTGTACTCAAAGTTCTACGGAGCATGCCCGAAGGTGTCTTCTTTATTGCACGAACACTTCGATCCTTATACATGGGTACCCAGAAAAGGTGACCGGATAAAATCGAATGTATCTTGCTTGGACTGGGTTATTCATTGTATGTTTTACAATGGTATTCAAGTCTGAATTCGCTTCAAAGATCTGCAATGAAAAAAAAAGGAGAAACCACTTAATCATCAGGTAAAATTTATTCTCAGGTAAGCTACTTAAATGAGATTCCCCTCTCCCTCCGGCCTCCCTGATATAATTTATTTTCTAGATATGTATTGAGATCTCATTTAACCCCTTCGCTGATATCACTGGACGAAAAACAAAATTCCGGTCACGGAAGTGTTGCTAAAACCTGTGTTTCCATTGCGGAAACGTAACGGCTAACATGCGCTTACGTAGACAGAATCATGACATATACTCATATTTCCGTTGCTGTAGACACAGCAGA